TTTGTTGATATGCTTTAAAACGAGAGATATATTTGGTTGCAATTTTGTATTAATGTTTTTTTTTTTTTTGGGCACATTCGAAAATTGATGAATGAATGAGTCTTTTTACTTCATCTTAGCAAATTTTTGGATGAAAACATTTATCAAGGACAAGATATAATTAATGAAAGCGTGAAGATAAAAAAACGTTGAAAAAAGTTAAGATATATGTGTGATAGATATTACGAGTAACAGGGAGGCAAAATCTTAAAACATCTTAAAAGTAAGACAATACGATTATTGCTACATTGATTGATGTTATAATATCAAAGATGCTATTTAACATTATTAAAAAATTATAGACCTACAATACAATTAAAATATTGCGCACTTATAAGAAAACGTGACGTGAATGTATTTAGGGGTAATTATAATAATTATAAAATTTGAGCACGAGTTTAACCTAATTCAGGGCTATAAAAGAGGATTATCATCCATCATTCAAGGAGAGAAGCTCTGGGGTAGAAAACACATTAGAAGATTATTCAAAAAGTGTTGAAGAGATTCAAGATTTCAAGATTGTTTTTCTTATTCTTTCTCACTTTCGAGGTGATATATTATCGATTCAATTTGTGTTTATGTAATACTATGATGCTCAACTAATTATATAGATTACTAGAATAACGACGAACCTTATATTTTGATATTCTAACACGAATTTCAAAAAAAAAATGGACTTTATTATTTCTTTCGTTTGAATGATTATTAGGTTTTTAATACTTTTCAATTACTCAATCAGTAATTGACTAAATTTGGGTTTTTATTTTGTTCGAGAAAAAGAAAACGAATTATAGCACGTACTAATTATTATTGTAAGGTTTAATATGTAAATACATATTGCTATACTTTGCACGATCTTGCTCAGTTTTCGCATGATTTAATGCATTTTCATATATCCTCGTCCTTCGTAAAAATATGGTAAGGCTCAATATTATTCGAGAGAGATTATTATATGAAATAGCAACATTGATAGTAAAATCTAATTAAATATTATCAACTCTTTGAATTAATAGTGGTGGGAGAATGTGAGAGATTCAAAATAGTGGTGGTTTTAATTAATTAATTTCATAAACGCTTCACACTTAATTGAAAGTGTGATACTTAGATTAATTATATTGTTAAATTGCAATCCTAAAAATCAAATAATTTTAAGAGTAGTGTTATTCATCTCCAGTGAAGATGAAAACACAGTATGTGTGGTTTTAAATGATAGGTTAAATAAAAGGTGAAATTGAATGACATATTTAGTTTCACATATCATTTAATACCACATTAATGCCACGTAAACTGTATTTTCATCCCTAGTGGGGATGAATATCATTACTCTAATTTTAATATTTCAATTAAAGTCAATCTTAAGTAAAATCTAATTGAACAACGTAATCTGTAAGTGTATGCAGGGACGGATTCAGAACCGGATTACAGCTTGGGCTAATACGTAAAAAAAAAAAGGGAAAATTACATATTCAAGAGTATAAGTTTAGTCTATTTCAAAAATAAGAACACAAGTTTAAAGTTACCAAAATCAGATTTTTTTTTAAATTTTTATTTATGAAATAATAAATTATTAAATTAATTTATTATTAAATATTTAATTATAATATAATATAATTAATCCATCCCACCTTCACCACCCGCTACCGCTCCAGCGACCGTTCTGATCACTGCCCTACTCCGGCGAACTTTCCGACGACCGTTCCAGCGATTACTCCGATTCCGGCGACTATTCCCGCGTCGATTTTCTGGCGATTGCTCCGCTATATTTTTTTTTACGGTTAACATGTTTTTTTTTACTGTCACAAGTCATATGTCACAAGTTACATCCCATGTCACAACCCAGGTCACAAGTCATATGTCACAAGTCACAGCCCATGTCACAAATCACAAGTCAAGAGTCACAGCCCATATCACAAGTCCTAGCTCATGTCACAAGTCATTAGTCAAGAGTCACATCCCAGGTCACAAGTCACAAATCAAGTCACACGCCAGGTCACAAGTTATAAATCAAGAATTTTTTACTTCACAAATTAATTCAGTCTGTCACATATTATTTCACCGCCACGACACAATTGTTAAACACCACCGTACGCCTCCACATCCGCCTCCACCTCAACACCAGAAATTTTCGTTCCTACCACACACCTCCATTGCCACCAGTCATCACCGCCGCCACGACACCGCACAACTCCACCTCCAACTCCACTGCCACCACCGCCAAAACAACACGGATCGCCCACCTCCACCACCCGCAATCTCACAAACAACCATAACCACCACCCGTCACTATCGCCACCACCGCCAAAATAACATAAATCACACACACAACACACAGATCGGCATACACAACAAATTGTCCATCTCCACCACACGCAACCGCACAAAAACCAGCACACCCGCAACAAATCAGCACACACCCGTAACAGATCAACAACTGCGCCTTCGCTGGCATGGAGTCAGGCCTCAACGCTACCGTACACCACCACCTCACCAACAAAAATCATTACAAAATCACGATATAGAGAAGGAGGGCGTGGGTACAACGGTCCTACCTGTTACGCGTGGTGGTCCTGAACGTTGTACCACCGGGCAAACCTGCTTTAAGCTTAAAGCTACATCGGCGTCGATGGGGGTTCCGGTGGGAAGGTGGGAAGGGCGTCGGTGGGAAGGTCGATCGAGGAGAGAGAGGGAGATGGAGAGAAGTGAGTGATTAGGGTTTGGAAATTAAAATGATTATTATATAATTAATGTTTAATCTATAAATATAAAATATCAGATTTTTGAAAAGTGAAACTTGTGGTCTGATTTTTTAAAATGGATATTGAAAAGAAAGGTTTTGTGTAATTTCCATAAAAAAAAATTACATAAGAAATTTTTTTTACATAAATTTTTTTTTTCTACTAAAAAAAATAAATGGGCCGAGGGCTGGACAGGGCAGTCCAGCCGGTCCCACCCCAGCGACCGCCCCCAACCTCCCCCCATTCCGTCAGTGAGTGTATGATACTTTAAAATCATATCCATATTATGCACGCCTACAATTTAACGCAACCACCCCTTATTGTATACTCGTAGTTTCCTTACCCCGCTTTCATTTCTCTTTTCTTTATTTAATTCCCCAAAAGTAAGTTATTGCTTACCTCACTCCAGATTAAAGGAATCATGCTACTTTTTAGTTACTCAAATAAAAAAAAACCTCAAAGCAATTAATAATAAAACTGAAATTATTAAAATTAATTCGTGACAGATCATCAAGTTTGTAAAAATTATTAATTAATTACCGTCAAATCCAGCAAAAAGGGGAGGATTTTTTGCCCCTCCCGAGCATGTTCGGGTGAAAGTCCCATTGACCCACGAGCTCGGCTCGTGCTCGTCATGAGCCAAGCTCGAGCTCGGTTCGGCCCCAAGCTCGTGGCTCGTGTGCGACTCGTGGCTTGGATAATTTTTTTTTTTAATATTAATAAGATATGCCTTTTTTTAAAAATAAAAAATAAATTTTTGGACGAGCCCACGAGCCGCTCGTGAAAAAACGAGCTGAGCTGAGCTGGGCTCGGCTCGTGCTCATAGCTCGGTGGCAACGAGCCGATCCCACGAGCCGGCTCGGCTCGATTGCCACCCTTAGGTGAAACATCGATGCATCCCACAAAAAGTGAAAAGCAGTTCCAAGCAATGCAAAAGATGATGGGGGACCAACTCCCAACTAAAATCAACACACTCCAAAAAGTTGAAAATTACTTTTTCTTCTTCATGTTTGATCACATTGCTGGAAAATTAGACATCTGCTTTGATTTATAAATTCATTCAAAGCTAAGTTCTCATTCACGGGAATGATTGAAATAAATAGTAGGATCGAAAAAATTAAGAAATCAAAGCATTCCTTCAATTCTGGACGACTTTCACTTTCAACCTGATTCATCACCTAAGAGCCCCTTGCGCTTAGTAATTTCGGAGAACCCTTGCGTTAGTGGCACGGAGTTAGCTGGGACTTCTTTAATTTAACTACATATTTATTATCGTCCACATATTATGTAGGATCGACTACTATTCATATTTATAACAATTTATAAATTTGCCAAATATAGACTACATCTTTAGTGAGAAAAACCATGTAAATCATTAATGTTGTGGTCAAAATTTATCAATCGGGTGACTCTATTTGATGTAACGGTTGTTAAGAATTAATTTTGTTAGGACCTAAAGCGCTTTATGAAACAAGGGCATTATATCACGAGGAATAATTTGATGCTTAAATTAGAATACATCAAGAATATTTGTATCAAAAGAGATAATTGACCATAGAATATTCATATTTGATAAGTAAATTGAGCGTGCTAAGCAAAACTTGTGTCCAAATAGATTCCTTCGCAGACTCACATGATAAAGTCCTATTTGAAATGACCTTAACTCGTAGTAGAGACGAAATATTTTGTTAAAACTTCAAGCTCTTGATTTAAAAATGAATCAAACTTGATAAAATACAAGCAAATTCCTGCCTTACCGAACTAATCTAAGTCAACGTTTTGAATGAAAAATCAATGGGGAATCCGAAATTGAAGGCTCCATGTGCGCCTTTACTTGAATCACAATGAGTCATCATGTGCACTATCTATTATCTACCTAGGATGACCACTTTAAGATGTATATGAACCTATTGAGGTTAAATTTGATATTAAATATAACGAATTAACATAAAATGTAACAATACTAAGAACTTGTATTAATACAAAGCTTTGTACGAGTATGGTTGACTAGTCATGTGCATCTCTCGAATGACTAATGCCGTATCATGTGAAATATGTTGACATAAGTTGATGATGCGAAAATTACATGTGCTTGTAGATGCAAAAAGGGCATGTTTGGTATGCAGCACCGAACAACATTGTTGTAAGATAGAACAATATTTTAACTTATTTTTCTTTTGTTACACATGCCAAGAAGCTATTGATCGTGAGGCGGAGTGGATGTCTTCAAATTCCATTATTGAAACCACCGTAGGGTTTGGTCGACGTACTAGACTTCTTTCGCCTTAAAACAACTGTCCAAGTAAATGCTTCCAACAATAGGGCAATACCTCCCAACACTGCAATCGCTATAATATACGCATGCTTCCATTTTGACTCAGGATTTAAGATATCTAGACCTTTGAAAACATTGATGATGCCAAGTACGACGATTGCATACCCGATTCCGTGATGGTAGATGTTCCAGTAAAGCCGATACTTGTGTTCCTTTTTCGGTCTCAATAATAATGCAAATATCTATAATAGCAAGAAAAAATTCGAATTCAGCATCAAATAGATAGATATGTAAGCAAAGTTAAATAACCAAATCTGCCTAGTTGAGCAATCAATCCAATTGCCATATCCAAAACCCTTTCCATTATCCAAGCCAAGAAAGGACCCTCCTTTTTAGAGAACAGGTTGATCACAGTGTTCGTAAAAAGGAATTCAGGAAGAGAGACGAGTAGAAATGGTTATCTTCCAGAGAGAAATTTACCTGCACGGTTGCTAGAGAGAAGAGTGCAATCCCAATATTGCGGTGGACAGAATACTGAACACCCTTCGACTGACTTCCGAGTTTAAGACCGGTTCCCCAGCCAGCAACCCCGATGGCATAGGCCGAGATTTGGCAGGAAACGTGGAGATAAAACCATAGTGGATCGGTCGATGGAAACACCTTTAAGTACCTTGCGATGATGATCCCGATTGGAAACAAAAGACCCCAGCTCACAACATTCAAAATCCCATGGATCTGAGGGAATACATAACCAATTTGTCACAATTTGAATTTTCTTCATAAGGTATTAAATCATAGGAATCTACTACTCGTGTTCCAAGTAAATGTCAAATTCTTTTACTACATTAATACGAATGCTAGATCGACTCAATTAGTTAAAGCAACCAGATCTTTAACAACTATAACAAGTCACGTTAATTTTAGCCATCTCTCTCTGGCTCTCCCTAGTTATATTATATCCATGGAAAAATGTGAATCAACCATCTGAATTCCGAGTATAAAAATTTAAAATTCAACAGTCCTAAATTCTTGAATATCCGGCCTCAATATCCAATCAATAGTAAGAACAATGACAATAACAGCAATAAAGAAATCTAAAAGATTAATTTTTTTTAGTAAAAAATTAAATTTCATTAGTAAAAAGTAACTTACATTCCTTTTCTTGGTTCTAGAGTCACCGCCGGAGCCACCGGTGCTCTGTCCTCTCAACAAATCAAGACGACCTTTAGAATTCAAATTCCCGGTTTGGAATTCATGCTTATCCGGGACCCCACCGGTCACCGAAGGGCCCACCTGCCAGACATGGTTCACTGTACTCTTCAAATTTTTCGGCAGAACAATAGTGGCGAAAAGCCTCATAACCCCGCTGGAGAACTCCGCAGAAGATTCCTTAACCTCGTACCAGACCTTGGATTCAGTCACAGGACCGTAGGAACTAACGTTGTATGTCTTAACGGTCATTGCACCCTTGGAGTCTTTGAATGCGATGAGGGCTTGAGACCCGATCATGCCGGTAGCGGTTGGGTTGATGGCCCACGAAATCCAGCCGTTGGGCTTGGCAGGAGGGGCTATGAAGGCGACGGTTAGCGTGGACTGGGCCGGATCGTAGGTCCAGTGAAGGTAGGAGTTAAGTGCAGGGAGGTCGTTGCAAAAGGAGTAGAGTTTATTGTTTGTGAACGTCTGTGATGTACAGGTGGCCGCCGCCGCCAGCGACGGTGGAAGTACCAAAAGTGTTGCTAGAAAGAGAGCGGCCAGGGTTGGAGAGAAGGACGCCATTACAGAAAAAGGAAAGTATTCGTTCCTAACGTATATAAGATTCTGGTCTCTCTCTCTCTCAGTATATATATATTTCAGTGGGAAAGGACAATGATGTGACTTAAGTATCTACAGGATGTGTACCACTTTGTAACTTAGACAATACTTGGAGGACCAAATATGCAATTTAAATCAAAAATTAAGAATTAAATATTTTTTAATTTCACTGTCAAATTAAGCCATTATTAAAATCAGATTTCCAATAAATTTTGATAAAATCTGATGAAAGATGTTGTTGGAAAATTGTGGGATCCCTAAAATATGTAATTAAAATTGATTGTTGACTTTAATTCAGATTAAAAGCTGAATTCTAATCAATACTAAACATAGGTTATGACTTTGCTCTTATCACTTTTTTTTCGCACTTCTTGACATGCGTTTTTAATTTATTTGTACATTATCTCGTTGATTTAAAATTTACTAACTAATAATGGAGATATGTGAAAAAACCAAACTAATATTACCAGCATTTTTTTCTCGTGGATACGATATTTGAATTGCATGTGATTATGCTTAATTACAAATTAACTTTTTTTCAATATTACTTCATCTCGATCAATTCTTAAATTAAGAGCTTGTTTGGGAGAGATTTTTGGGGAAAGAATTGATTTTGAACAGTGATATGATGGGAAATGTGTGGTTGAAAAAGAAGAAAAAATTATTGATGTGATGGAAAATATTATTTTATTGAAGAATGTGTGGTTGAAAATGAGAATTGATTTACTGTAGAAAAGGAAAATTTTTACCAAACTTGATTTTGAATAGTAATATGATGGGAAATGTGTGGTTGAAAAGAAGAAAAAATTATTGATGTGATGGAAAATATTATGTTATTGAAGAATGTGTGGTTAAAAATGAGAATTGATTTACTGTAAAAAAATTTAATTCCTTTCAAACAGGTCCTAAGTGAAAATATTTAAATCGTTATAATAAATTAAAAACATGATTGCGATTTATGAAATTAACTGTAGTCAAAATATATTATTATAATAGCAAGTTTTAATCCTGAAGTATGGCCATCTTGCCTTTTAATTTCGATAGAACCTTGAATTAAAAGAAAGTTAATACCAAATTAAATAAGTAGATACGAAAATTATATAAAATAAGTCTATTAATTGCAAAGAATATACGCTAGTTATAAAATCACCTTAGTATTAAAATAAAATCTTAGAATCTGAATATCTCACCATTAATAGCATAAAATCTTGTCGTCGGAATTCCTTATGGGTAACGAATTTGTTAATGGGTCATCCATTTGGATCCGTTAACAGGGTTGGATACCGTGGATGGGTTGGGTTTGCTTTTCTGTTTGAAAAATTGACGCCAATAGCACCGACTAAAATTTTAAATATTCTATAGTGACAATGTATTTTTTAAATTAAAAGCAATAATCTAAAATCAAGATATATTGTTAATATATTTGTCTCTCAATTAATAGTGGAATATAAGTACTCACATCTTCTTCTTTTTTTCTCATTAGAATTTTAACCTTAAACTCTCATTAATAATTTCAACCGGTCTCTACTTGCAAACTCTATCAAATTCTTCCATTATATAACTCATCTTCTTCATCGAATCCTCTCCAAACCCCACGGCCCTACTCCAACCCCCCAGGTAACAAATTCAGGAAATTTTTAGACAAATCCACGGCCCCTGTTTGTTTCCAATTGTTCTCCTCATTTTAATGAAATTTCTGACCATTACAGATTTTTTGGTCGCAACTTTTGACCTTTTTGTTACATAAGGGGGCCCACTGTTTGAAAATAAAAGGTCAAAAAATTAATTTTTAGGCTCCAATAGTGAAAAACAAACAGGGGCTAAATGTAAAATTGAAGTTCTTGACATGAAAAATCATATATGATTTTTATCAATTAATGTGAATATTGAAGTTTGGAAAACGTATATAAATCAATAAAAATAAACTGACAAAAAATGATTTAAAAAAAAAAAAAAAAAGAACTCTTCTGAACATAGGCCTCTTAGCTCGTAACCTCTAACGAAATCTGGTTGAAAATTTAAAGAATGCTATTCTACGTTCCAGTACCAATATTCGTGGTCCTTTATTTATTATTATCTAGAAAATAATGCAAGTATCTATAACAAAATTAAAGAACAAAATTTCCTAGTAGAGCAATCAATCCAATTATCATTTTCAAAACCCAATTATTATTTTTAAATTCTCAGCCATTACTTTATCGTCTACGTTAAAACAACCCATTTCTTTAGAGTCGATATCTTAGTTGACCAATACCTGAATTGCAATATACCTTCGTGAAATTCTCATTATTAAGTCAACTTTTTTTTTTTTGGCAAGTCATAACTAACACGTTACATAAACTCCACTAGTTGATACTCCAAGGAGGCTTTACTTGGAATGAAATAACAAAAATGGATTCATGAAGATTTAATTACTGAATCGCTTTCCAATGGTATGTTCCGGATTCGGTTAGATAATGAAGATTTGATTATGGGTTATGTTTCAAGAAAGATTCGACGTAGTTTTATACGGATATTGCCAGGTGATAAACACTATAACACTCAATCGACACCAAATATAATACCTAAATCTCTCAATAATAAACACTCTTTACGACCATACAACGAATGATCATTTCCTATCGTCCATTTGGCCCACAACCATCCAATCGCCTTCCCTTCTCAAGAGTGGACTTCATCAATCGTTCACCACACTCTACCATCTCCATGGCATTCTTTCTTATGAGTCCGCCAATAACACCAAAACCACCCCCAAATTGGTCGGCTCGAGTCCATCCACATACAAATTATATTTCTTATCACTCGTGGGCATTGCTTGGACTAGAAACTGAACGTAGGATTGATGAACTAATGATTAGACTGTTTTTCTGATACAAATCGATCAACTGAAGATATGATCGAACAACTAACAATCAGATTGTCCTTGTAGTGCAAGCCGGGATCCAATTACTACCTCCAATATAATCAAACCAAAATAAACATAAGCAAATCTTCTTTTTTTTCCCTCTTCTTTTAGAAAATCTCTATATTCCTCAATTAATTTGACTATTTTTAATTTTAAATAATTTTGCTTGACTCGGCATATGCCCCCGATAACATTCCTAAATGCCACCTTACACATCACATCATCCTGTATATGCAACCACAAAACCGCCGATCCCTTCGTCGTGAACCGCCGCCGTCGCTCAATTAATCGAAGTTTACTAATTGCATGGGAAAATGGAGTCGCTGCAGAGGAGAGTGGAGACATGGATCAGAGATCAGCGGACCAAAATCTTGAGAGTGACCTGGCCTCCGCCGTGGCCTCGGATGGTGGTGAAGTGGCCTTGGGTCGACGGCGGTCGCGAACAGCAGAAGAAGATTCAGGAAGAGTTGGGGCGCCGCAAGAAGCAAATTGAGGAATTCTGTTACGCCGTCAAAGCAGAATCGGTCTCCGATTTGCAGGAGATTCTCTGTTGCATGGTCCTCGCTGAGTGTGTCTACAAGGTGCATTGCTTTTCTCACTTTCAGTGAAGATGATATAGCTAATTGTAATTGTTAATTTTGTGGTCGATGAATTCGAAAGTTCGAATTCTGGCTTGTCAAATTTTGTTTTAATTTGGTCTTGCAACTTGTCTTCTATGGGTTAAAATCGAATAGATGTACTTCTGGCTGGCGATAAGAGGGGTTGAACCACATTGTACACTCGGGACTAATCGAAATTAAGTTCCAAATAAGAAAACAAGAATTGGCTGGAAGATAAGAGAAGATAAATGGGGTCGGAAAAGAAGAAAGCTATCGTATTTCTAGATAAAAAAAAAAAAAAAAAATTGATTTGGTAGGTAATCTCGGAGTCTGAAAACCATTCTTTATGGTCCGTTCAATCTGGTTATGAATTGTATACCAGCGTTAAGCAGAACTAAGAGGTAAATGCCAAAGTGAGTAAGATCATCAGAGGACTGTGAAAAGTATTTAGTCTGTTTAACTTTTGGATGTCGAAGTAATGAATGTTACTGAATTTAATTTGTAACATTTTTTGTATCAAAATCTTTTACTTTTGTACTCTTCACATGATAGAGACCTGCTGCGGAGATGGTTAGGGCGGTGAACAAATTCAAGGCTGACTTTGGAGGGCAATTAGTTTCTTTAGAGCGGGTGCAGCCTTCTTCAGATCATGTTCCTCACAGGTATTTGGATAAGAATTTCATGTCCGTCTTTTGCCATTTTACTCAGTGCCCGTTTCATTTTTTTGTTTTTTTTTCGTATTCTTTGATTTAGTGCATCTGATCACTGGTTCATTGTTTTATGTTCTACTTACTGTGAACATGTGCGACACAAAGAGTATAGCAAATGATTGATCAACCCCTAACAATAAAGAAAAAATGCTATGGTGTATTAAATGAGAATTTAAAAAATTTGAGCACGAATATAAATTATATATACTTTGTTTGATAACACACGTCAATGGGTTACATTAAGTCATTAATATAGACAGGTACTTAACCACACATATACCTATAAAAAGTTCTAATCTTGCTGGTTGCTTTTATGTTACGAGTTTCCTTGAACTACAAATATAGCCCGTAAACTTTGATAAAGGGTCTAAAAGCATAAACCCTGAGGTACCTAATCGATGTCTTGTACAAGTTGCCCTTCAAAATTGTAAGCCTTGGGGTCTTTTGAAAAAAATAAGCTAATGATTAAAGCATCGAATTATTACGCAACACGAACAAACAGTGGTTCAAACAACCTTGAATGAGCTGCAAAATTGTACCAATGCAAATTGAAATTAGGCATTTTTAGGAAAAATATGCTAAAAGAACAAATTAACGAAAAATGAATTAAGTGTTACAGAAAAGAAGTTATTTTGGTGAATGGGATACTCTCCATGAAAGCAAGATGATACAGGGATATTGGAAAAGAATGAGGCCAAGAACTTTCTGTCGCCTCTTATTTAAGACTCTGCAAAGTGGCACTAGAAGCTATGATAACAAACACTTGACTTCCATCTTGTCCATGACTGCATTAGTAATTTTTTTAATCTAAGAAACTAAAGCGGTTACGAGATTGGTGAAGTTGCAAATTGAATCAGCACGGAGAGATGTACTAAACAAAGCTGAAAACATAAGCATCAGCTTTCTTTGAAGGATTAAACTAGCAGGATCTTCAAGTGACACGTGGCAGCAAGTCAAAAAAGCTTCTGCGTTATAATAAAAATGCTATCTCACTCATCTACAATAGCTTATCCTGGTATTAATTAGCTTGAAATTTTAGGTGAGAGTTGAACATGTGGTATTTGTTGTAGCTTTTCTTTTCACGATTACAGCTAATTTACATGTCAGTCTAACTTGTTTTTTAAAGATGGACGTTTTTGTAAGGTAAAATACAGTTTGAAAGGAGATCAATATTTGTGAAGAGCCCAAAAAGGAAATGAAATCAGTCAGTCGACGATGAATGAGTAACCAAGAAATTTAAAAAGTATTCTGGTTACTTCAAAATAATTTGCTTTGTGTAGGATGTATCTGTCAATGAGATTGAGAAGATTTCGTGATTTGATTTAATGATTTATTACCATAATTACAATATACCAAAATTACAACAAACCATGTACATATGTAATATTTTTTTATATAATGGAAGGACCCCGAACGGGGAAAGGCATTCAGCCAAACATTGTCAGTATCTTGTTAGTCAGCCCAATTGAATTAATTATGTATGTGGTCTTCAAGTTTCAGTTCCAGATTGTCTGATGCGATTACTTTGAGAAGAATTAGAATTAGAATATACTTTCTTTAGTAACTTGGGGAAACTCTTCAGTGCTTTCTTTGCCTTGGGTTATGAGTCACTTACTGTTTTACTTGTCAGAGCAATATAACAACATGAGTAGCTTATGAATAATGGTTTTTAAAAGCAAAGCATAGAATAGGTGTATATGAATGTAGAAATAATGTAAGACTTCAATGATGGCTTCTTGTTGGAATCTGTTAATTTTTGTAATACAACATCGAGGCAGGTTTCAGAGTGGTTAGTCGATTTGGGGGAAGTGCAACGTGGAGAGGTAGGGGGTGAACTGGGGGACAGGTGGCAGAGGAAATGCTTTGAGTGGAAAAAAAGTTGAAGAATTTAAATGGTATCTTCCCCAAAATATATCGTGTACTGTGGAAATTGGGCAACCTTAAAATGGATGCCCAAGTGCCAATGACTAAAAAGGATGGGGATCACTGCTGCAATTCCCTTCTTTTATTCTGGAGGGAGTTGTGGGAGGGAGAAATGTAGACGGAGCATCCTCAATTGACTTGTAGAAGAACATTCTTGATTTACTCTGTAAAAGATTATCTAAATGATTATCATCTTAAATTTATTCCCAGGGTCACATTAATCAATCTGATGAAATTGTTATTTTCTACTTCGCTCTGGTATATATATTAAAAGTGCAGCATGACATGTCCATCTTTCTCGATGTTTTTGGATTTAATTTATTACCAATAAATACTCAAGTCTTCTTATAGCCTAGCTCAATCTTTTATTTCTCAGGTATCTATTGGCTGAAGCAGGAGATACATTATTTGCATCTTTCATTGGGACCAAGCAGTACAAGTAAGTATTGCATGTAACATTTTGAACAGATTTTTTTTTTTTGTTCTTTCCAAAGTCACTGTTTTTATTGTATTTTACTTTCTTTTTTCCTCTACCTGTTACAAAAGGGATGTCATGGCTGATGCAAATATATTTCAAGGTGCCATATTTCATGAAGACCCAGAGGAAGACATTCATGGACTAGAATCTACTCTTCTTGACAGTAAAACGAAGAATGTGGAGAATTTCTTAAAATCTCCGGAACCCAAGCCTAAACAAACAAAACTTACACCTAAACCTGCAGCTCATAGGGTACTAAAGCACCATCATTTCATTTTAAGAGTAACTTGTTACATCTTTGATCTTTTGGGGGCATTTTGTATAATATAGCCAAAATATACACATCCTTTTCACGTTACCATTTTTCTATAACTTTCTCCAGGGATTCATGAATCGAGCTAAAGGAATACCAGCATTAGAGTTATACAGGCTTGCACAGAAAAAGAATCGAAAACTTGTGTTATGTGGACATTCACTTGGTGGAGCAGTAAGTCTTTTTGTTCTATTTGCTTTTGATTTAGTCAATCACGAGAGGAATCTGAAATGCTATTCTTTGTTTGTTAACTTCAGGTAGCAGTCTTGGCCACCCTTGCCATTTTGAGGGTTATTGCTGTTTCATCAAAAGAAAATGAAAGGGTCCAAGTGAAATGTATAACATTCTCCCAACCTCCAGTTGGGAATGCATCTCTAAGAGAGTAGGTTTCTACCACGAGCTTGAGTTTTTTAGTAGTCAAATTCATGTCATTGACTTGCCTGAAGTGTTATGTTTCAGCTATGTGAATGGAAAAGGATGGCAGCATTATTTTAAAACCTACTGCATTCCGGAAGATTTGGTGCCTCGAATATTGTCTCCAGCATACTTTCATCATTACAATGCACACACTCCATTGGCACCACTCAATGAGACTTCACTGTCAATGGCAAGATCTAGAGAAGAGCTGGAGAAGCAGAAGGTGGAAAAGTTGAAAGCGAATGAAGGGGAACAGTTGGTTCTGGGTTTAGGTCCTGTGCAGAATTCCTTTTGGAGACTTTCAAGACTTGTTCCTTTGGAGGGTGTTAGAAGACAGTTTCTTAAATATACAGGGAAAAAAGTTGATCCAGTTGAGACATCTATTTCTAACGTTTCTGCTGTCACATCGTCAATTAATGATATAGTTACTACTCCACAGTCTCTTGAAATTGAAGAGGGTTCTGATGGAATTTCGCTCCGTCCTTTACCTGAAAAAGATGAAGAGATTTCTAGCAAAGTGAAAAATGGTAAGTCATATGGAAGTAGCGGGGATAAGAAGGCATGGCGCAGAATACCTTCTTTGCCTTCATACGTGCCTTTTGGGCAGGTAGATAGGCTTTTCCTCCTAATCTCTTCTATATTTCATTTTTAATTATTTGTTATGTATCAGTATTCCTATAAACCTATGCAAAATTTCATGCAATTCCCCTTCATGGTTTGTGTTTACTTATGTTATTTTGTATTGAAGGAATGAACTTAGTCAGTTTTGAAGTATATGATCTTATCCATTTTTTAACAGCTTTATCTTTTGGGAAATTCATCTGTGGAGTCACTATCGGGTTCAGAATACTCAAAATTGACATCAGTAAGATTTTCATTTGCCTTTTGATCTCTGCTTAGTTTCTAACAGTTGCTTCTTTACCCTCTCATTTTTATTGCTCTCTAACGGCTAATATATTTTTAGGTCAGATCTGTGATTGCTGAAGTAAGAGAGCGTTTTCAATCACATTCCATGAAGTCATACAGGTCCCGTTTTCAAAGGTAAGTTTTTTTGCATTTGGCTTTCCTTACGCTAAGTTTTCAGTTATCAATAATCCTCGAGCAGTTATTTTTCTTGAACAGTATGATATAACTACGTGAGATGGGCCTGTATGTGCTGTTAATATTTTGATGCTTTATCTTGAAGTTATATTCTGTATCTCCTGAAGACCCCCTTTTCAGTAAAGAGATACTTTTTAATAGTAACTTTGATATAGTGATGGATACACAATCTATTTCAAAATTTCTCTGGGTTTACATGTTTACTGCCCGTCTTGTTATTATCATCTGAAGCTCTTCCTGTATGGAAATTTTTAATTTTCGGAGCTTTCTAGTGACAAGTGATGATAACTTCTTCAAATAAACATTTGAATAAGAGTGTTTATAATGTGTAAATTTCTAATTGACTGTACAAAGATAAAAATGGTGATATCTTACCAAATTCTTAATAATATGTATTGTTCGATCCAAATTACAAGCACTTAAAACCTAGCATCATTAACTGGTTATGTCCATCTTTTGAATTTACTATACAACCTTTATTAGTTGATACCGAGAAAATTGGGGCATAATATCATTTAATGAAAACTTTGATCCTTTATATTATCTTTTCAAACATTTTTAAATTCTGATCCTTGTGGTGTTGATGTGGTTGTCTATGATGATGGATGAGCTTTAAATGTAACTTATGTTTCCCTCTTTAACATGATAACCATGATAGTCATGATCATTTTTAAATTCTGATCCTTGTGATGTTGATGTGGTTGTCGATGATGATGGATGAGCTTCAAATGCAACTTTTTTTTCCCTCTTAACATGATAACCATGATAGTCATGATCAACTTGCTAATGTGTTCTCTCAGAATCTATGATCTCTTCATGAACGAGAATTTATTCACATTATTGGGGAGGGAGCAAGAGCAGCAATTCCCACATTTACAAAAATGGTTAGGAGTTTCAGTTGCTGGTGCAGTTGAGCTCGGTCACATTGTGGAGTCTCCGGTTATTCGTGCAGCTACTTCCTTAGTTCCTCTTGGATGGAATGATACTTCTGAGAAGAATGGAGACCCTTTGAGGGTAGATATTTCTGGTTTTGAATTACATCTATGTACATTGATTGAAGCTCGAGTTAATGGTAACTGGTATTCTTCTTCATCTTGTTATCCGATGAATGCAACTCTACTTTCCATCTATTGTTCTGTGCATTGATTCTGTTTTTAACAAAGTTGAGTGTGATTATTGGTAGTGTTGAAGAAATGAATTAAAATGAATACTTCCCCTATCTAAGCTCTTAGATGAGACGGTTGACATGGTATTAGAGCCAGATTTGCCGCCACTCATTTATAAAATTTGTGCATGTGTCACACCTTTGATGAACAAATGAATCTGGTCTGCACTTGACGGGGGAGTGTTCAAGAAAAGCTTTAAATAAATACATGTAATCCCTCTCTAACAACTCAAGCTTTTAGTAAGATGGTTAACAAGTACCATTGTGTTATTGTCCTTTGTTCTCTAAATCCCTTTTTCTGTATCTATTTGAGCCTTGCACACGACAAGACAAATTCACTATTTTTTGTCGTGTAATTCTTCTATTGACATTTGTATTAGCTCTTTGTCATCTTGTATTCTGAATGACTGAAAGATCTAAATCCCTTCAAAAGAAGTATACTTGTCCCCTGGACTGAGGCCTCCTTGTCCCACATGGATTAGGAATTAAAACTTTGATTTGTATCCATTTGTAGGTGGATTCTCAAGGACATATGAGCACAATTCCTGTAAGTCTTTTGGATACTGGTTTGTCACAATTTTGTGGTACCCGTGTGAGTCTTGAGGTGCACCTTTTGTTACGTGCTCCTAGGCTCAGAGCATGACTAACTGCATAAGAGACAAATTGTGAGTTACAACTTTAGGAATCAATTGCTACCACGACAAAGTGCTATGCCTGCATGCTCGTGATGGAAGCCTTCTGTTGTTGTAGGATTCTGTTGAACCCTTTCAAAAAAAAAAAAAAAAATAAGAAGAATTTTTTGGATTTGAAAAAAAAAAAAAAAAGAAACAACTTGGCACACGGTGCAGGTTCATTCTTAAAAATTATGTCACTTACTATAGAATGTTAATCATGGATTCCTTGTTTTTCGATGATTCCCACTATACTTCGGTACATGGAGTGCAGTTGGTTCTGAAAGTTCTGTCATTTCTTAGGTAACATTAATACATGAAGTATCAATCATTATTGGGTCAACTGTATTTAATTTGTCCTTTCTATCTATAGCTGGCAGAGTTGAAAATTCCATTGATTAGGATTATGAATTTATGAGCCGGTAAACAGTGCTTTGAGTGTATCATCTTCTGGGCAGTGCGAAACTTTCTTATTCATATTGGTAGGGCTTTAGTTTTTTTGCTAATGAAATATGACCTCTACGTCTACTTTTCTGTGGGGGAAGACAAGTATTTGATCTACCAATCTCTTGCAGCTTTGTGGACTTTATTTCTTATTATATTGCTTAACTTCATTAGGTGTTCAACTGCTGTGGAATCTTTTCCTTCACCGCCAGCGTACTCAATGCAGCATGGACTGCAGCCAGAGATACAAAGGATGCGAATATTAGTTGGAGCTCCACTGAGACGACCTCCCAAGCATCAAATATTGGAGGATGGATTAGTGCCCATGTTTCCTTCTCTTGATCCAACCTGCATTGATCTGAAGCTGAAACAGAGCATGGCTTTGGAAGAGGAAAAAATCACCCGTCCTGATGGTTTAAGTGATTTTGTTGTCTATTGCACAACTGATTTTTCTACCGTGTCCAAAGAGGTTCATGTTCGAACCCGTAGGGTGCAACTAATTGGCCTTGAGGTATTGCATGCTATCATGCTTTAAGGTACTTAAATCCATATTATTTCTCACATCTTGACATGGATGATGAATATGCATTTTGCAGGGTGCTGGTAAAACCTCTCTGCTTAAGGCAATTTTGAATCAGGGCAAACCTAGTAGCACTGCAAGTCTTGAGAATTTTCCTATGGACGTGGACCTTCAAGAAAGTATTGCTGGTGGTTTGTGCTATTCAGACTCTGCAGGAGTAAATTTACAGGTACTTTACCCCAAACTCGTTCACAGATTTTTGTTCCTTCTGTTTCTGTATAACTGCATTTTAACTTGGCATCAAAAGTCCAAGTTTATGAATTATTATGTGTATTATCAAACCAAGAAGGCAGCAATTTATGTTATGTAGTGACCAACTGCACACTTACAATCTTGTCTATAAAATTTGATGTTGGAGGATAGATTATAACAAGCACGGATTGACACTAAGTTCGTTATTATTGATTTTTATGTTGCTTTCAGTCACAAAATCAGGTAGTTCTTTCTTCATTATTGCTGTAGTTTGATTTACCCCCACTTTAATATTATAAATATTCGCACTGCTTGTTCAGCTTTGAAGTAGCTTGATGTCTACTTGTTGATGCGAAACTATAGAGTAAATATTTAATATTTTGTTACGAGGGTAGTTGGATTTCTGTTGGATCCTGTAAACAAAATGTACTAGTGTCAATTAATGAAGTAAACGTGTCTGAGAAAGTTTGTTATATTGTTCATTAGTAATTTTGGTGAGCAATATGGGTGGTGAATCAGAGAGGTGTTTTATGTGATGAATTGTTCTTCTGCACCTTGAGTTCTTAAATGAATAAGTATTTACATTTGGTACCGACTGTCAAGGAATAGTTTGATCGAGCTATGAATGCACCTTCTTATTCTCTAAATTGTTTCTCCAAAGAAATTGCCAATCTTTCATGGAGAAAGTACCAATAAGCATTTTTTGTTTTTGTTGATATATCGTTGGAGGTTGCATGATACATGCAAATGATTACTAACTTTATGAGCTCTGCTTCCTTGAATTTGAATCGCCTATTCCCAGGTTTACCATTTGATACATCCTTCTCTTTTCTTTCTGCTTTCAATGCAGAATTTGAATATGGAAGTCTCTCATTTCAGAAATGAACTGTGGAAGGGAATTCGTGACCTTAGTAAAAAAATAGATTTGGTTGTTCTTGTGCATAACTTGTCCCACCGAATACCTCGATACGGCCAAACAAATGAATCACAGCCAGCTCTCACACTACTCTTGGATGAGGTTAAATCTCTTGGTGTTCCTTGGGTCCTTGCCATAACAAACAAATTCTCTGTCAGTGCACACCAGCAAAAGGCAGCTATTAACGATGTACTGCAGGCATATCAAGCGGCTCCTAGCATGACCGAAGTCATCAATTCATGTCCATATGTCATGCCCAGTGCTGCCGGTGGTTCTGTGTCATGGAGCTCAATTGACAAAGAACCGGACAGGACACCGACTCCTCAAAAGCTCATTTTTGCTCCTTTCAATCTTGTCAGGAGGCCTTTCCAGAAGAAACCCGCTGTTCTCCCTGTAGAGGGTGTTTCTTCTCTCCGTCAACTCATTCACAGACTGCTTCGCCCTCACGAGGAAGCTGCTTTACAGGTACAAGTCTGCTACTTTCTAAAATAAGTTTTTAAACGTAGTCACACACGTGGATTTAGTTTGAAGTCCGTCTGCTATGTTTCTCCTTTCTACTCTGAAGGAACTTGCCAGAGATAGGCTTTTCTTGGAGTTGGCTAGGGAGCGTGCAGCTAGAGATACAAGTCAAGATGACCAGGCCAAATCGAACTCCTTGACTGCTGCTGCCGTTGGTGCTTCCGTAGGAGCAGGTGTTGGAATCCTACTGGCCGTTGTTATGGGCGCTGCCTCAGCCTTAAGGAAGCCATGAAGATTTTGCCTTTTGGTCCCATTTGTATGTGACTCCACATTTCACAGATGTAAAAAGTGTTAGCAAATAGATTAACATTTAACTTAATTGTTTTATTTTTTAATCAAGTTGTGATCACTACTAGTTCAAGTCTTATCCTGGCTTGTACTGTATTTGTCGTTTATATATTCTGTATTTTTTCAAGCAATTCTTTTGCTAGATGTTGGGTGATTCGCCATTACATCGTGCCCTTTCCCTAGGATACGAGTGCAAATGGGGTCGCCCATCCGAAAGCACACTATATGATGATCATTTCATGGCTATCAAGAAAGAACTAGTATTCTTGATTCTCTTATCACATTCTGCAAAAAACAGAATGCATCTTACTCCCACCGGAGAAAACACGTCCTTTCCACGCTAGAACATATAAAATTTAAAGACCTTCAATCCACTCAATCTTGAATATGATAATTTATAATACTAGCAGTGATTGTAGCTCAAGTATAATGTAACATGTTATTTCTAGTTGATCCCAATGCCGGATCTAGCATCAAAATCAGCACTAATTCAATGAAATAAACTGCAGCCGGGGAAAGCTTTAAGCTTTATTCCTCTGGAACAAGAAATAGGCAGATCACTGCAAAGTGGCAAACCAGAAATCATGTTGAACAGCAGGTGTAAGTGCTCTTATTTTGCTTTGATAAGTCCACATTGACACGGTTGACAGATAATTCAGCCTTGTAGGAATCAGAGTTGAGAATTTTTCGGCTAATATTGTTGTAGATCTCGCGGATAACAATCTCAAAAGCCTTATTCACATTAGTTGAATCCAGAGCAGATGTCTCTATGAAAAATAATCCTTCTTCTTCTGCAAGGTCTTTCCCGTCCTCCATGCTCACCTCTCTGATGTTCTCTAAATCGCACTTATTCCCGACCAGCATTGTTGCTACAGTCGTATCACAATGAGCTGCATGAACAGGAAACATCAAGAATTACTCAACCACAAAATGAATATTACATCCAGATGTTCGTTTATTGAATGTTTGACACAGAACGTTCAAATAATGTTTTTCAATGAGCCACCCTCGAATGATCACTTGATTTCTATTTGTCATCTGAACTCTCTCAATCAACTTTGAATATAAAAGCTTCTTATGATTTCAAGTAACGTCTTTATAATCAAAGCAAAACCCCATTACTAAAACAGTTTTGAAAACAGATTGTGGCCATAAAATATGAAAACCATAAGATTAATATTCAAAAGTTTATGATACAAGCTACTCCCTCAAGAAAGATGAGGCGGCTTCATTTTGGTTGGTGAAAAGGACTAAAGTCATCAACATTTTTCTGCAACTATCTTTTTTTTTTGATAACCGTGGATGTCCGGGCCAGCTTGCTCGCACCTCGACTAGTTCCACGGGGCCCTGAAGTTTACGGTCGGATACTCACCTCAGTGGCCCTGAGGGGATTCGAACTGGTGACTATTGGGGAGCAAACCCAAGGCCTGACCAATTGAGCAACCCCTCAGGGTTATTATTCTGCAACTATCTAAACGGAACATATCATGGTAAATTACAAGTTCGATAATGTCTATAAAAAAAGGTATGGTTTCTTATCGTCCAAGAACAATTTATCGCACTGCCTAATGACTCTCCTAGAATCAACAGTATTTTGGTTGACATTCTTTGGTTCCAACCTACAGCCCTCGTTGCTAGAATCCTCGATATTGAATTATTATGCATACTCTACTCTACACATTTTCTACCCAAATTCAGCAAAGTAATAGCCTATTCTACTTCTGAACTGCCTACATTCTTAATTTACTGCATCTAAGTACTAACCACAACTTTCAAATTAGCAGAACAAAAGATTAATCTAACAAAAGGATAGCTTCGTAGTACCAACGGCAGAGTTCACCAAGGATCTAATCCACTAAAACATGTAAACCTATGAATCATCAAACTAGAACAACAGTGAATATCAAACAAGCATAAAGTAATGGAAAAATAACCCAAGAACAACAAACTAATCCTCATTTGAATCCTTTTCACCATTTCAAATTTTTTTATTGCTGGATCTAATCAAGAGAAACAAAATTATTAGCAGGTAACCACATAAGGATAATCAAGAAATCACTAGAAAACTAGAACAACAGTGAATATCAAACAAGCATAAAGTAATGGAAAAATAACCCAAGAACAACAAACTAATCCTCATTTGAATCCTTTCCACCATTTCAAATTTTTTTATTGCTGGATCTAATCAAGAGAAACAAAATTATTAGCAGTAACCACATAAGGATAATCAAGAAATCACTAAAAAAGCTTACTGTTAAGCTCATCAAGCCATCTTTTGACATTCTCAAAAGTACTCTTCCTGGTAATATCATAAACAATAAGAGCCCCCACAGCCCCTCTATAATAAGCAGAAGTGACAGCTCTGAATCTTTCTTGCCCAGCAGTGTCCCACACTTGGGCCTTCACTTCCTTGCCATCAATCTCCACCACCTGAGTCTGAAACTCCACTCCAATGGTGGCCTTGGAGTTATGGTCAAACTCATCTCTTGCAAAACGGGACAGCAAATTGGATTTGCCCACTGCTGAATCACCTATAACCACTATCTTGAACAGATACTCCTCCCCTGTTTCTTCTTCCCCCATTATTTAGCTTGATTTTTATTTTTTGCCTTCTGTTGTTCTTCCTCTGTCGGCACTGTGTGTTTATGCGTGGATGGAGAAAAAAGGTTGGATTTTTAACTGGGGAAGTGTGGACTAGTGTGGACTATAGAGAGATTAGATGCATAATTTACGGGTAAAAGTGTACATTTCAATTATACATATTTAATTCATTTTCCTTTTGGTTTTGTGTGTTATTTTTTAGTGTAAGGAAGAGATTAAACATAGTAAGAATAATTAAAGGTGGAGTCTATTCTAATTAAAGGACACATCATACACGTTTGTACAACGTGGATTTATGGTAGCACCTAATATTATTAATTCGGGCTCCAAAGTAAAGAATAACAAGTTTTTCATCGTGAAAAATAGAGTAATCGTTTAAAATAACAAAATAGATTATGTATGTCCGACTTTCTCGAGAAGAACGGTGACAATTTAGATATTTGGAGTTATGGATGAATATTATTATTTTCGAGTTTATACTTTTGAAATTTTTAGGTTTGAATATAGATTCGGGTTGAGTCAGATTAAGCGACTGACTTTGGACGGATAATGTTATTCACGGTTATTGACGTTCAAAAATGATGTGGTCAAATTTGATCAACTTAATTGGAAATTTGAATGAGGCAAAATGTTGGAATAGAAAAAAGAAAAGAGTTGTAGCATTAATTGAAGTGTTTCAAGAGCATTTCTTGTGAATACATGAGTTTGGTCCCTTGTGGAGACCATTATGCTTCTATTTATAGGCACCAAGCTAGCCAATTGGTCGCCCAAAGTCACATCAACCACGGTATCGTCCTTAAAATGCGATCATTTATCCAGAATTTGAGGCCTTATGATTGGTTGTTGGGGTTGGTCTAAACAGGTCATGATGATATTGAGGTGGTAGATAATCATTACTGTCTTGTGATTGGTTGAAATAGTTGTGCAAATATTGCATGATAGATGATGATGTTACATAGGGACACATTGAGCATAGTGCAATGACTATGCTCTCTAGATGATTGCGGTGTAGGGGCAAGCTGACCTGTCGTCGAAGGATTGAGTTGGATTTTTCTTCAATTGTGGTATGCCAGAGTTGTCGGATGAGTTCGGATCCCAACAATATTTAAAACATCCAGTCTCTCGGCTTGGTTATATGTCGGATAATGACTAATAAAATTCTGTACAAATAAGTATTGAGTTGATATTTTCAATATTTATTGCTCAACTCTGTTTTGAATATTTACAATCTTCTCATGAAATGAATATTCAGCTGAACAAACATCATCCCTACACGACTGAAATATTTGGTAAATTCTTCATCCTTTCAGGCTCGGCAATTTTGATGAAACTTGCTCTAATGTTTTTCTTGGCAATATCTCAGTTATTGGCTTTGCCAAAACTTCAAGGAATGGAACAGCATCTCTTGCATCATTGAGTCCAGTTGCATAAAGAACCAAAGCATCAAATAAAAATGTGAAACCCGAACATTTCGCGGTTCCATGCCTTCGAAGATCTAGAAACCATTCGTATTGCTCTTTTCCCAACCCCTTGTACTCAACACTTATGAAGCTTTCCTCATTTTGGTTTCCTCTAATCAAAGTTCTGACCTGAATTTGTTGATCGAATTGCAGCTCGGATTAGTTAATATCTCAAGAAATGATAAACGTGAACTCTTACTTGATTTGATTAGTAATTTGTACGAACCTTGGGTACTACCACATCGAATGCTGCTACTGTTTTTTTCATCATCGTTCAATTGTGTGTAGAAAGGTTTAATTTCTTTGGGGTGATTGTATATGATGACTGGCTTTTTATATATTTCGTCCGTTAGATAGCTGCCACAGAAGATTTACAAGAAAGGTTACCGTGTATGTTCCTCAGAGTCAGAGATGCGATTTTAGCTTCTGTACCTACCTTTCATGTTCTTCACTTAAAGGGGCACCCCATTCGACTTTGGCCTCAAATTTCTTCTTGGTGACCTGATACCAAACCAAAATCACAAGTTTGTTAATTTCGTGTCATTTTGAACGGTAAAGATTCAGCCAAATGAACTTAGAAAAACTTGAAGAGAAGATTTGCCTTATTCAGAACTTCAACAGTCTCAGTGTAAGATATCTTTTCAAATGAGCCACATGCAATCAATTGAAGGCGATCAACAATGGTATTGTCAATCCTCTTTGAGACAAATTTTATATCTTTTGTACTATTCTCTAAAATCCATTTGCATATGAACTTCAAAAAGTCATTTCACTCATTTGCACAATCCACAGCATCCTGTAATGCCACAAGAATGAAAGCAGATATTGCTCGAGTTAGAACCATTTGCAAAAGTGACATCCAAAATAGTCGCAGCCATTTCATACAGTGTGAACAGAGAGGGAAATGATACCTCTCATTGGGAGAGAGCCATTTCAAGCTCGACCATCCACGCTTCAGCTAATTATTTCATAGACTCTAATCTTTTTGCTCGGAACCTTGTGATAAGTGCATTTTTGTGCACTTATTCGGGGCCATATTACTAAGCTTGTATATCGTTTTATTATTGCATTTTACTTAACTTAGGTTATCTTTATTTTATTTCAGTTTTGGACCTGTTTCGAAGTAATTGGAAAAGAAAGAAGGATAAATAGGCTAATTAATGGAACTTTAGGGACCAACATGCATTTGGGGAAAGTTGAAGCTTTACAATTGATGTAATTTGATGAGGAGGACCAAGATGGAAGAAAAAATGAAGAAAATGACGGAAAAAAAAGTGACGAAAATTTAGCATGGGCAACCTCCTATCCATTTTGCCTGGGCGGCCGCCTAAACCAAAAATTATCAACAGAAGCAAAACTTTTAGCCTGGGCAACCGCCCCATTTTGTACTGCTAGGCCATTTTGGGAAAAAAATTCTAATTTCCTAATTCGACTACAACTCTTATGGACACAAATCTTGGCGGGTATTTTAAAACCCTAGGGCCATCCAAAAGTGCGNGAGAGAGAACCTGAGAATACATCATGAAGAAGATTTTGGGGCAAAGATTTCACATCAAAACTACAAGAATTCTTGGATTTGAAGTAAAATTGTGATTTTGGTGATGTTTTCTCTTACTATAATTTTGTATTTTCTTAGTTTCTCCGTGTTAGGTTAGATCTATTTGTGTTAGGAGATCGATGAATTTTGCTGTGTAACTTTGGATTTTAGTTTTACAATTATTGACAATTAAAACATGTTTTGAGATTTGAACGACTTTTAATCACTTATTTGTATCTACAATTATTATGCATGTGATTGTGTGAGTGTGGTGGTCTATTTCATGCATTCGAGAGAAGGGAAATAGACTTGACGAGGTATTAGTCATCTCGTAAGGTCCGATAGGGGATAGAGATATACCTTTATGCTTTGCGTAAATCTTTAAGTGATCATAAAAATACATGTATTCTTGTGAATTTACATTCGTTATAGAGATATAGTCAGGTGGTTTACATGAATAGGTTCAGCAATTCTCGAGAGAGATTGTTGGATAGGTTATGATCATTGATTTTTCAAAATGTCAAGCATGTTGTCAATATTGTAGAACTAGATTCCAAGACGAACATTGCAAGGGGATTCGTGATCCTAGTACTCGTTTGTTATTCATAAGAAACATTCACTCTGCATTCGAACTTTTAATTGCATTTAGTTAGTTGGTAAAATTTAGTTAAGTTGCATATAATCTTTGTTTAGTCACAAATCTTTAATTATCTCAAAAAATCTATAGATTCGGTTAAGGTTTTGGTAATTAGAATCAAACGAATTCAATCTCTGTGGAAACGATATCTGGAATTCTCAATTCCACTTTATTACCTGTTACGAATCGTACACTTGCGATGATTTAAAATGAGCAATTATTTTTCGTGAACACCTTGGTCCAAACGAATAAACATTTCCCAAAGCGCACGCATAACTCTCCAAATGAAGGAGACCAGAAACTGTCAGAAATGTCTGGTATGAAAAGAAATCTTCAGAAAACTTATCTTTATCATCAGTCCTGATAGGTTTTCCAGATCTCGTCTTTTCTTTCGCTTCCAACTGTGATATGAGCTCAGTTGTTCTCTTGGGATCCTGAATCCAATCTGCCAAAACTTCTTCATTGCAATCTATTCATTTAAGTGCTTCGACTTGCTTTGTTTTTACCCTGACCAAGGCCTTGTTAACTTCAAGTTTGGCACCTCCAGCATTCTCCAGAGTACTTTGGTTCTTTATCTTTCCTTTATCAGAAAGAGTAGTCAATTTAAAATTCTCACCTATTCCCTCAGTCAGTGCTTGTTATTATTGGCACTTGCACATATAGGAAGCCATTTTCTTGGTCGAAGGTATGAGTTGCTTGTATAAGAGCATTTCGGATTCACACAACAGATGATACCTGCAAAAATTTAAGCAAATTCTTGAAAGCCTAAGATTTCAAAAGATGAACTTCATAAATTACTGAGGGAGCAGATATTACTGTTGTTGTCAATGGACAGAGCCCCTTAAATTTTAGAGGGGCAAACTTTTCTTCGTTAAAGGTATCTGTCCTGATCAACTGTCCCAATATGAAGAATTTTCTCTGCTTTAAGTTCAATAATTTGCTTCCCCTGCATCGATGGTTGCTGAAATGTACCTTCTGCTAATATACAAGTTCCGGTAGGCATAATTCTAGCAGGAGGAGCTAGGGACGAGTCCACCACGACCTGATTAACCACACATGCAATCGAAGCATAAATTCATATCAGAAATTGCAGTTTCTTCATTGATATCCCAAAAAAGGCTTAAAAAATTGTGATAAGAAAGAGAATTTTCGATTAATTGCAAGCGTCAAACTCGGCATACCTGAAGACCAGCAACACAAGAACCATCACTGATTTGCAAAATTGCCATTGAAGGCTGCGGTGGCTTAGGTATAACTTTATCCAACTTATCACGAATTCGTTGCTCCCCACCTCCTAAAACCTTCAAAATACTCCGAAAAAATGAAAGCTGGGATCAAAGAACTTCCACACGCGTTATGTCTTTTTGCCTTCCAGCATCAGGAGCTGCCACCACAGGTGGTGTAACGGGGTCTTTTCTTACCTCCTGGGAGGACTTAACCCACCCTCCAACCACCACTCTCCGGCCAAGGATCCCCACACCTCCATCTCTTTGGCCTAATACTGTAATACATATTTCAATAATATCCTTTTGGAATACTTCGAAAGGGCCAACTGTGTTTCCACGGAGTCATGTTCTGAGGCCATTTTCGAGCGAAAAAAATCAGATGAAATTGAAGGGAACTTTTAGTTGAAGTGATCTTTTGTTGGGATTATAGTGTTGAGAAATGAAAGTGATTAAGATTTATATGAAGAGAAATTATGCTTTGCTTATTAATTTTTGAATGGATTATAAGAGGAAAATTGAACGAGGGAGTGTTGGGAAAATTGGGGGAGAAGGTAAGGGAATGTTTCTGGGTATTGCCATTTGCAGCAAGCTTGGAGGGAGAGACAAGTACAGAGGTTAGAATTTGGTATTCTTTATAGGGAAGGAAATCAAGGAATTCGCGGGAGTTCTCATATTTCAACTGTATTTAAAATTATATTTTTATGTTAGTTTTGAAGCCAAGTAATATTTTTTTTTATTTTAAAAATTATATTTATTTTCTAGAAAAAGGTATTTCTAATTCCACACAATAAAGATGTCTGTGTATCTTTTTCTTCTATATATACAATTGTCACATTCAAGCATTTCAGGTTCAAGATTCACTTCAAATTGTAATTTGAGAAAAAATGATTTTCCAGCATTACGTGCAAAACTCGATACAAAGCCAGTATTTCTTTTATCAATATTTGCCATATCATCATAGAATGACCAAAATTGCAAATCATAAAGTATAGAATAAGTTGCAAATTCATAACAAGAATAATTCACTTTATGTGGACAAGTTGCAACTTTACTTCCATAGACCATTGATTCTTTCCAACAGAGTTCTGTATCAAAATCCACCATTCTTGACTAATTTGTACATAAATCATAATTGCAGCCAAACCTAGCAGGTGCATGTTATATGCCTCCAAGTACAGATAGTAATGGCATGGACGGTACTGGAATTGAGGTATCTTCTCCCTTCTCTCAGTGGCAGCGAAAGCAACAGAGTTGAAGTTGTTTATATTTACTCATGTCCCAATTCATATCAATTAATCAATAAAAAGCGAGATGCATATAAATTAATCACGTCCCAGGATGTTCTTGTCCTATCAGGATGAAGGTGGCGATGATGAAGATGACACTGCAGCATGATAAGATGATGATGCAAGTTGTGCTAGTGCTGGAACGGCACCACCTGCACATATTCCGCGTTGAATCCCCTCAAAATCAGATTTCATTCCTGCAAAAATATGATACTACAATGCTTGTCCAAAAGCACTTTCGCCAATCCAACTTGGGATTGTTTTAACATAGAATATTTCCAATCATAATATGTCTAAGAGATGTATAAACCTTGGAAAGAGAGAGAAGAGAAGTGAGTTTTTATGTAAACTTATTTCTCTGGGAACCATTTTCCAGTAGGCATTGAGGCATATTCATTCGCAAGGAAGTGTTTCAGCAAAAAATATTTTTTCATATTTATCAATTCAGTTCAACATTATTTCTTCAGGTAGCCAAGTATTTTGCAAGAGATTTAGAGCTGCACTTGATTTAAGTAAATAAGGATAGACATAGTAGAAAGAACTCCTACCTGCCAACCCAGCACAGCCTGAAGAGAATACAATGACCAGTGGGGCCTGAAACCGCAAAGAGGTCATGACATAAGAACAAACCAAAAAAGGGGGATGGAAAGAAAAAAATAATAATAATAATAGCACACGCTAAATTTGAAAATGATATAGTGTGACTCGTATGATAATTTTGACAGAATAGAAACATTTACATCCTAAACAGCCATTTACTTGACAATATCAAACTAGAATCTCAACTTTAATCTGAGCAAAAGAAATGGTAGGTTCAGTTCAATGTCCATTTTAATGTGCATTTCCAGATCATACGCCTTCAAAATGCTTGTATGTTGCATTTAATCCAACAAGACTTTCTTCCTTTATCTTTTTATGTTTAAAGACAAGTTTTAGACAACTAAGCCTCCGTTTGGCAAAATTTATAAATCATCTATACACGGTCAAACTTCATTTCCGATCACACATTCCAATGGAGTGCTAACTACTTCCGCCACTCAATTTTATCTATGTATAAATTAAATCATTTATAAATTCTTACCAAACGGGGAGGCTAAATAGAAAATCATACAGATAAAAGGGCATCGTCAACTGACTGCCACAAAAGATTGCTAACAAGCTACCTTATCTATAAAAATGAAGCAACATAGCAATTATACTCTCCCTATCTTGTTTACACATAAAGAACCAACTCAACTAGATCTTCCTCTACTAATATTCAGTTAGATGACTTCAGGATGAATACTGTTAATCTATCTTGTCAAACTAAAGCAAAAAAACATCTGGAAGCACAACTCTATATGATGATTTGTGGCTAATAAACATACGAGCAAAATCAAGTTCAACTGCCATATCCCCAGCCCAGATCTAACTGCTAATATCCAGTCCAGGAAACTTTCATAATACACTGTCATACCTCTCTGCCCTTACAATGAAGAATAGGGCATCCTAATAATAAATCAATAGCATCCACCTTTACATCTGGTAAGGCTATCCTATGAATTCTTACTTCTCCTCAAAAGAAAACTTGCCATTTTACCAGAGAAACTACAAATCTGATATATTTGAAGCAATTAAGCACAACAGATCATTTACACCTCAAAAGCATTTTCCCCGCAGCAAATATCTTCTCAAACCTGCCTCTCCTCACCCATATCAATTCTCAAAACCTAATTTATATTACATTACACAATATAGCAGGGTAGCCTTCATATTAGTATCATGCTCCTTTAGAGAGTAGTTGGAGTTGATTATCGAAAAGTCTAACCAGTTTGGAGGAGCTGGAGTTGGTAAAACAGTAATTTTTCATATGCAATGGTGAATCCACTATAACAATCCACTTCCTATCAACTGAGAAAGAAAGGAAAGATATGGAGAAATAAGGTCAACACAAAGGTTGCATTACAGGCTTCAAGGGAAAACAAGGAGTATGAGATGGAAGCACTTACACCAATGAGGAAATGCAACCACATAGGTCCTTTGATCCACCTCTGAACAATTGGCATAGCTGCAGAAAAATTATAAAGGGAATACAAAGTCAGTCCGCGGACTGATCTTTCTCGCATAATACTCACATCATAGTAGAATAAAATGCTCATAAACAACTACCAATATATGAAATTTTGAAGAAAACATTTCCCAAGGAAATAGATGGCAGAAAGCCAGTCAGAAACCTGCTGGTATCTATTATAGTTTACTTCATAGGATCACTGTTTACTCATCAAATAAATGGAAAAAAGAAGGAAAGAAACCATGCTTGTTACACCAACAACTGAAGGCTCAACCACTGAAAAAAACAATGGAAATTAAAGAAAGGCTAGCATACCGTGGTTGAAGCCATAAAAGGCCCCCGCAGTGCCACCAACGGCCGATCCTATCTAAATCAGAAAGAAATTTGGCAGAAACGCTTAATGAGGTACACAAAATGCATAAATTACCGCAAGAATTACTGAGTTAATTGTTTCATTAGCCACTGAACTTTCATACATGTCACGGTTTACCCACTCACCATTAAAACTTATCCCACTGGCCACTCAACTTTAACTCGTCCCACTCCGTTGGCCACTGGATCAAAACCGTTAGTAACGTTGTCCACGTGGCTGATGGAAAGATGAC